AACGCGGCGAAGGAACTCGAGGAACGATGGAATAAGAGAACGAGAGAGAGACCGAGTAGTAGAAGGCTGAGTTACAGGGGTGTAACTCGGATACCTTGTACAGAGAGCCTAGCGGCGTTTAACTTCTAATTGAATTGTGAATCCCAATGCTAGAACGTCGGTATAGAAAGAGCCGGCAGTTAAATCAACTGTGTGAGACGTCTAATTGAATTATCAATCTCGGCACGAAGGAAAAACCCTGGAAAGATCGACGGTCGAAATAATGAGATTAACGCGAGTAAAATCTGACGGAAGCCGGGAAAGTTGGTTTAATAAGCATCATTACTGTAAACGAGCGAACGACATCGAATTAACTTAGCTGACACGGTTCTTGGATTAACGATTAAATCGATCAAACAATTAGATATTGAAATTTGAAAACGAAAGATTTTAATTAAGAAAATTTTATTGCCGAAGTTAACACCGTTTTTCCCTTGGATATTTCGACAAATTTAACTCGTAGGAAATTTTGAACGAGCAATTTTAGAATTATCTTCTTTTCTACCGCATAATATTGTCCGTATGTACTTTTAAGTTTTTTACATTTGCTGTGCTCTTAACTGATGCTCGCTCTTAAATTTTCTTTAAAAGATTAAGGGCTTGGGGTTGCACATACGTAATGACTAACGCGGGTTCAAAAAGTAATTAAAGCGAATGTTAGCGGACCTTCGTCGCGTTTAAATACATGCTGAATTTTCTATGCAGTTTTCTTGCATCGAATAACCGCAAAAAAAGACTGAAACGTGTATTCATACTTTCCCGATTTACGAATCGTTTGTTTGTACTTAAAAAAAAAAAAGAAATAAGTTTAACGTCGCAGAGAACAATGGGATCAAACGCTTTCAAAAGCAATGCGACAAACTATAATGGTAAAGCTTCAGTTACGCGTGGTTCTTCTGCAAAATAGAAATTTTAACAATATAGCTTTCGTTATTCGTCATTCGATTCATGCTATGGGCCGCACAATCAGATTTAATTATGAATATTGCGTTCGCTCTTGCACCGGAATTACAATGAAATTTTTACCATAGTAATTACCGCTTTTCTTCTTTCGTATTTCGCGTCAAAAGCACAAAGGTAGTACTTCCACGCGAAAAGGAGCGCACGTCGTGTACGTTAGTGGTAACAAGAATAAAAAAAAAGGGAGAAATGAAAAAAAAGAAAGGAGAGCAGAGAACGAGAGAATGGAGAAGTAAAAAGCGCTTTTCAACGCAACCAAATTGTAAGGAACACTTGATACCTTTTCCTCGTTTAATATCGAGAAGAATAAGGTTGCGCAATGATAGAAAGAACCTTTTAGAGTTGAAGCAGCTATAAATCATAGAGCTATATGTATATGCAATAATTTTTCAAAGGAACAGTGTAAAATTTAGAAAATGATAATAATAGAAAACACAAAATAATTTTTTTTACACCAAAGTGAAATTGAACCGAATTTTTTTCGGTACACAAATAGTCGTGAAACATTACCAAAGGAGGTTCGTGCTGGTAGCCTAGAGAATAATAGCATACATTTATTGCCCTCGATTCGAGCTCGTGCCAATGGCAGCACGCGCCGATCGCGTTAATCGTGCGTGAAAATACCAGTCTTTACCGATCACTTACAAGGTCCACCTGTCCAATTATTAAAGAGCCGGTACCGGTATAACACACCTGGACATTTTTGCGGCTACGCGCACGTATACGCGTCGTTTGAACTAGAACGGCCGCGGTATGAGATACATACGCGTGTATAGCGGCGGCTTTTGTTGTACCGTGAGAAATGGCCGCTGCAAGTGTCTCGTTTTGTACGTGAGACGAAGGTAAACCGGTAGAATGAAAAGGTAGAGAACTTTGCACCGCGTTCGCCAGCACGTTTGCTCGTTCAGTGATATCGACGTCGATTTCAATTTACGTAATCGAATTTGATTTGGTATCATTCTTTAAATGGTCCAAAAAACAATACCTATCTTTTTTATTTTGAAAAGTGGATGAGAAAAGTCTGTTAATACTCGATTTTACTGCTCTAATATTTCGACTTTGACGAATCAATATCGCAGGTATTGTATTAACAAATCCAGTTTACAAAATATACAGGGGGACTCTGGCGCGGATTAAACGCGACTCGTGACAACGTTACAAGCGAGGCGTAAAAAAAGAAAATAATATACAGGTATATCGGCGACCCAGAAACTCGTCATATCGAGAAAGTAATCCGTTTGGACGCGAGTCGTTCATCAATGACACGTATCGACGCGGTGCACGATACCATGAACAGTAGTTCGGGTTACCATTCGGAAGAAGGAATAAAAGTGATGCCGGTGAGGTCGCAGAGGCAGCTGTGCGACCGATCAAAGTCCTAGAAAAATGTATTATCGATCTTCCTGGGTATCGGTATCTCCGGCTATTGTTCACGCCATCAAACACACACACGGCCAGTTTTTTCGTCACCGATCTGTGCGAAAATATTGCACTAACGATGGCTTTTTGGGACCAGGATCGTTGTCCGTAGCGCCTGGACCAGGGAAAAGCGATAGATAGACGATATAGATCCAGGGAAGAGAGGTAAAACCTGATGCGGGGACAAATCGTTAAACGCGGGCTATGATGACAAAGTACAACGAGTGAGAATCGAACGATAGCGTCGGGGATGAACGACGCGTCGACGTCGCGTGAAACGTAACCTCCCACCCTCTGATTTTTTTTCGCTCTCTTTTTTTTTTATTTCTAAACGCATCCTTTCGAAACGTTCCAATGCATTTTTTTTCCCTGCAACGACGCGTCTCGCACAGATCGCACTTGTCGCCGTTGAAAACACCGGAAATAGATACGCGCGTGTACGATCGTTGATAAATCGTCCCGCGCAGCTTATATTTACTTTCCGATTGGCAGCGTTTGTTGCAACGAACTTGGTGCTCCACGGATTGTCGCGTTAAACGAGAGGACAGATGTACGTAGCGTTACAACAAATTTTTTAATTCTTTTTTTTTATTATCCACTGTCCTCGAGAAAACGTGTTTGAGAATGGTGGAAAAATGTAGCTGTCCTAACGCAGGCCGCAAATTAACAAGTATTTTGACATCTAGTACCGTGGAAATATTTTTTTCTTGCATCTGAAATTTCCTGTTATAAAATCGCGTCAGGTGGTTGACCATTTGATACGCAGCGATCTAATAGTTTCAAACGGTCTTTATGGAGATGCATTTTTATGCAAATTTATGGTATTTTAAGTGGCAATAAATCTACATAAATTCATGAGGAACGATATGCGATAACTTCAAATAGCGGTCAGAGGACGTTTATTGCAAAATCGAATAGCTTTCAATAGGTAATAATCGGTGTGCACGTAGCTCTTTAAATTATTAAATTTGAATTAATTAATTTTGCATCAACTACTCAGGAAAGCGAATAGATACAGCAGTATGAAAAAAAAAAATTAATAAAGCGACTTGATTTTGCTCGAAGGCAACTGGAGCTCGAGCCTTTTACCTCTAATTTAATTTATTAGCCGTAATGCGTAATCGTAAAAGTTTTCGAACGAGACGCTTTACAGGTTAGTAAATTACAGCTTGTGGTCTTAAATTTCGATCTTAGAATTCAGTGCGGTGGCAGTTCACGAGAATCCTCGAAGCCACGTTTTTACCGTCTTTCATTTTCTTCTATTTAAGGTGTTCCAGTCACGGGTTCTGTTAGAACTTCTCGGAGGAGACTTCTCGTAAACCGAAGCGTAAATTTTTCGGCGTTTAGAAGAGGGAAGCGAACAATCGACTATTACTTTGTCCTTACGTGTATACGCTGGCGAGAACGATGAAAAGTATAAATGGCCCTCGTGAAACGGCACCTTTTGAGTAGCCGTAACTCCTTTCATTTGCGGGTGAATGATTCGTTGATGGCAATCCGAGCCATGAATTGCTGGACAATACGAATTGTAGAATTCCTTTATGGTCAATTTTTCGTAAATTCTTCAACAATTTTAGTGCATCTTCTCGTTGATTAATTTTCAAGAGTACGTCTGTTAGAAAAGGATCTTTAACCTTTAATACCTTGATTACCATTAGCTTTTCTTCCGTACCATTTCCTTTTACTTCTCCTCAAATTAAATATTGCAATTTCTTCAAAAGGGGTTGAATTATGTTAAATTTCAACCTATTCAGGTTCCAAAGATGATTCTTCTAAATGATCAACTACCTTCTTATTTGAATAATCAGTTGTAGCATTTAATAGTACTAAAACATTTATCATCAATCATCAATTCTAGGATTAATTAGCCCCGATTTTGCCGGTTCGTACGCGTTGGATCGCGATCCTCCTAACGATGCTGTTTCCTCCCTAAGGAGGAATTCACGTGGAAACGAAACGGATTCGGTGCTCCGAAAAGTGGCAAAATTGTGGGTCCGCGTCGATACACGGCAAGACGGACGATCGAGAAGAAAAGAAGGACAGGTATGGGAGCGTAGCGTTGCGGAGGGGAATCCGGAGAACAGGTTCGTACATTCTGAAAGGACGGCGTGATTCGACTGCATGGTCAGTGTCGCGTCTCGATCCCCCGAAATCGGGAGCCGGTGTAAGGTAGCCTGGCCTTTATAATGAAGCGATAGAATGCGAAAAATTCGCTAGCTCGACAAGCGGACGCGCGTTCGAGCGTTTTCGAGCGCATTGTAAAAAGGGAATCGCGGCGCTGGTGGATGGACAACGCGAAGAGGTGGGCCGATGGTGAAGGTATCTCTCGGAAGATTGGAGGCACGCTCGAAGACGAAGGTAGGACGAGGATGACGAATTGCGTGGAAGCCAAAGCTGAGCCTCGGGCAGCTCCGTGGAGGCATTCATAGAAGACGATTTGCGGACTGGCCTCTGAATCTTTCGTACCTTTTTACCCCTTTTCCTTGGCCGGCGTCGGCCGAGAGTAGGAGATGACGGGGAATACGACGGTAGGGATGGAAGAATGGGCGCAGTAGGGGAGGGAGAAGGTGAGCGGGGTCGGAAGGGCCGAGGGGGGTGTTATTAGCGAGTCGACCCTGGCGGCTGCCACGACGGACCACACACATCGTTGCATCGCGAAGGGAGAAACGGCAACAGACGAGGAGAAAGGAAAGAAACAGGTCGACAGGAAGAAGCGAAAAGAAGGAAGGAAGAAAACGGGAAAAGAGGGATACAGAAGAAGAAGAGAGACGAAGATAAGAGAAATCTTCTTTGCTCCACCGCCTTCGACGTCTCCACTGTCCGTTGCGTGTGCATCAATCGAACCTTCTTTCCTTCCTTCCTTCCTTTCTTCTCAATCTTCCCTATTTCCTTCCTTCCTTCTTCCAATCGCTTTTCGAACGTTTCGTCGAAGCGCGAGCTACCATTATGCACTCTCTTCACGGACGCCCGTTACGTTTTATGTCTTTATCCCCGCGCTGTGTCGATTGAGATGAAAGCGCCGACGACCAGGGATCTTCTATGACTCTGCCCTGTTCGCTGCACCGGCACTCCGTATTCTGGGAGACGCGTCTGTAATTGTACAGGGAATGGTCATCGATGCTCGATAATGGGACGCTCGCGAAACGCTCGATGCGTTCCAACGCTTCATTGCAATTATGATTGCTCGTATTTACGGGCTGGGTGTAGTGGTACATTTTCACGCGACGATAAACCGTGACATTTAATGCCATGACACTAAACGTCATGATTTCCGAAGCATCAAATTTTTGTCATCATGGCGACTTCATGGGTGGGAAAAGGGATAAGAAAGAAACCTTGCCAGGATTCGTAACAAATGCGAATACAGAAGCTTAGCTGGTAGGAATGTTAAAACTATACACGGATAGGGTATAAAGGAATATTATAAAAGGTTCCAGCCTAATTTGAATCGCATTCTCTTCGAGGTTGACGTTAATCCTCGATAACGGTAGCAACGACACTAGCTTTCGAAGTGTCCTCAAATCGCCTCCGAGTGACATCTTTTCAACTTCGACCGATAAACCGGTTCACCGATGTCCTCAAGTATGGGTAAGCGAGTTCTTCTTTTTTTCACCACGTCCCGAAACATCGGCGTGCAATTAAAATCGGGCTTAAGTCTGGTCGACTGACGTTAATCCTCGATAATGGTGGCTAGGAGTATGGTTGGCGAGATCCCTTTTACTGCACTCGGAACAGATAACGACGCTTCGTAACCCGTTGACGTTGTTTTCTCGTTGGGAAGTCATACACGATCCTCCTTGGAAAGTACGATATAACCGCGGATGAACCTCGAAGACTTTAACGTTGATCCGATTTTATACGGTGAACCGAGGACTTTCATTTTCAGAAGCAAATTCCTAAGGTCCTTTTTCTGGTTTTTGTTTGAAACCAATGAAAAGGGGGTAACTATGCGGTATAGGGGAGCCAGCTTCGACGACCTTGACCTTGATACATAAAAGGGTAAACAGGGGAGGGAATATATTCGAAAAATCCGCGGATCGAGGAGTTTCTCATATTTTCTTCCGTTCGTCATCGCTGCAGAGGGTCTCACGCGATACTTGGCGTATACTTATTGTTAGAACTCGCCCTCGTAGGAGCTCGCGTGTACAAACTCGCGCGTATCGTATTTCTCGCTACCCGGGGGGTGCTTGGGCCCTTTTAATTCCGCGTGTAAGACATTGTCCGCTTTAATTACCTACTCTTCGTCGTCGATGGTGGCCAACGGGCACGAAAGAGGCCGCGGAGCAGGAACGCAGGATCTGCTCTTCTGTTCGTCTTTCTCGCGCTCCCTTTCCGCGCCGGCCTAAGAGAATGGCAGAGATTATGTTGCGGCTTACACCGCGACGGGATCCCTCCTTCTCTGGCGCAGACTTTAGCACGGAGAGGGAACAAATTACTTAGTAATACTGCTCGCCGAAAATTTCGCGCCACCTGCGGTTTTGCGGTGGGTACCCAGCTCCGCGTACACGTCTCAGCGGTGTCGTACAAACGAACGCTCTGCGGTCGAGCCGTGTTACCTTTTCGAAGAGCCACGCAACACTGGCTAGCAATCGCTTCTAAAATTAATCCCCATAGGATCGTGAAGGATTCTTTCAATTTATTAAATCTTCCAACGATACGATCTTCATCCAGAGCCACCATGTTAATTCACATCGTAAACCTCTTGTTCATGGTGGTAGCAATTGAAATCTGTTCTTTTCTTGGAGACGTATGGTATCGTTGAAACGACGATCCATTATGGTAATGAAAAGACGTAGCAAGAAAGTTACTAATGTGTTGCATACACCTTGAACAGGGATATCCCCTCCCGTCATTTGGACGTGGTCGTTAATATTCAACGGCGCGGTCGGTCCGCTGCTGTTTCCATTGTAAAAGTCGCATGCAGAGTGGATCACGCGAATCGTGTCTTCTGTTTGGTTGATGACGGAAAAAAGTGGCGCAGGAAAAAGTTGAATACCATACGAAGGATTATGCTCTTACGACCTCATTTTTCTTCCAACTGCAGCTGCCAAGTGCAGCTGCATCGTTTAGGTCGTAATCTTGTTTTCTTTTCAAATCGCGATAAGATTTAACTTGGTCTATTTAAATCACATCGATATCTTGAATTATTTTAATTAATACAATTAACAAGTAAACGCGCATAATCGAGGGAATCGGTTCTTTATCATCATCCCCCGGCCAGTTTTAAAGGCGCGACGCGACGCCAGTCAATTACGGCGTTATTTCGTTTGGTAGTCTGAAAGGATAGCGAGAATTCGCAATAAGGAGCGGGACACCGGCTCGCATCGGCAGAGATACGCCGCCGTAGCTTTTATCCGACTTTATCCCCGAAAGTTCGCCGGGGCCATAAAGCGTGCGCGCGGTCCGAGTTAAATCAAATTCGTTCCGCGAAACGGTCCTCTCTGGGAAGCATGCGTTCCACGCACGCAAACGAGATTCCGCGGCGACATTCCCAATCATTCTTCCGCGGCGTGTACCATTCACGGGGGTTATAAGGCCGCTTCTCCGTATCACGAACGAACGAGAAGGGGCGCGAGGTACCGTGAAGCCGTGAGGAGAAGGGACGAAAAAGGAGCAAATTTGAAGTAACATCGAGGAGAAGAGAGAGAGGGTACCAGCCGGGGTGGAACATAAATTATTAAACGCGCTTTTAACGATTTTTCAAGCAACAATTCTGATTAACCGTGAAGGGACGGTTCGATAATTTGCGGTCACATTTAAATCACGCACGCGGTACCGAAAGGGGCAGCAGCTAAGTGCATCGAGTTTTATCGTTATTACGAGCGTGAGAAGAAATAAGAGAAAGAAAAAGATCGAGGAGGTACGAGCTTTCGCTATCGCCAGTCCAATAAATATCAGCGGGGCCGAAACGAAGTAGGTGCCTAATCCCTTATAACTGCACTGACTTGGTATCTGTACGGAAAGTATTCGGCCAGAAAACTGCTCGAAGAAGAGCCGGATAGTTTCGAAGAAATACCCGGTGCACGGGGTCGCCGGTGTTGCGGACACAGGCAGAAATGATCGCGTGAAAAAAGAATGTGCCATCTTTGGATCGGTTCGCGTGCGAACCGCGTACGCTTTAGGATTCACTCGCGAGGGCAGAGAATGAAGCAAGCGGAGGTCAGGCGCGTGACATATACACCGCAGGCCGGCGGTGGTCTGCCAATGGTCCCGCAATATTTCATAATTAGCCGTGATGCCCGTACGTCGTGAATACACACGCTCGTGTTTATCCGTGCGAGTACGCGGCCGTTCGATCTCCGTTCCGCACACGTGGAACCCCTCGTGCCCTCCGTCATGCTACGCCACGATGTTGTGCCTACACATCTCCGATTAAATGCCGTATTAACTTCGGGGCCCTTCATATTTTAGGGCCGCGGGAGAACGTTCTCGCGGGGGAGGACGCGAGGGGAAGGTGTTTTCGGAGTATGAGGGAGAAGTGGTGGAGATTCTACGGATACCCTGAATGGAAACATAAATTCTAGTTTGACCCTCCTTTGATCCTTTTTGCGGCAGATTGAATTAAAAAATGTTATAATTGTAATTGTTCCGTTTGTGTTAATTTCATCTATGATTAATAGGTTCAACCTAGAATGTAAATTTCGAGTAGGGCTATTCTGTTCGCGAAAAGGGGCTAAGACGTGGAGAAAATAAAAAGAATTCAGAGAAATGAAGCGGCAAGTAGGAGGGGGGAAAAGGAGTCGAAAGAGTCGGAAGAAGCGAAAGAGAAAAATAGCGAGGAGGGGAAGAAGCATCTCACGTCTGGAGGTATCGTCAAGTGATTTACGCGCACGAATGTGGCGTAGGTACGATAATTAAGCGAGGAGCCGCTCGGGCTCCGATCGAGCCGGGGCAGCTTTTCACTCTTCTCCATTCGGCCGCGTGGGCGGTCTCTCGGGGCCCCGTCCAGATTTGACACGCGTATCATAACCCTTTCGACTTAGTTCTCTCGATTGCTTGCGTGTGCGTGCATCTACCTGTACGTGCCGCTTGCGGACTCGCGGATTTCACCCAACAGCTGCGGGAACACCCTGGTGAACTTTGAGAGAGTCCGCTCAGACCTGGTGAGCGTTATTAAGTTATACGAGGAGCAATTGTATGGGAACATATCTACGCTTTTACGGTGTTATTACGCGATCACTTTGAAATTCTGGTTGCTCTTTCGCCTGCATTCGGAAACGAGCACGGTTTACGTTCCGTTTCGATCAACGACGGTCCACGATGTCTCGAGCTAAAAGCGATTTGATTAAAAGCACAGTCGGAAAGTAAAATATGAACACCAGTTTCATCGTGAAATTCGTGTTACAGGTTAACTGGAGTGGAACTTTGCAAGATAAACGAGTGTGGCTCGGCGGCGAGATCCTGATTGAAATTGGATCAAACGGAACAAACAATCGATCCCGACGCCATGCCATTCTATTTCGCGAACTTTTGTTCCTCGATGCATAGGTTTTTCGTTTTTCTTGTTTCCCATTGTTGAAGTGAAAAAAAGGGGCCGCGTTGTATTTATGGGGAACGATAGTTCGCCAGATCCTGTTCCATTTGCAATTGGATCAAGCAAGACAAACGTTCGATTGGTTCGCGTGCTTTACGAGCACGTCAGCGATCAGTGTCGCGTCACTGTTCATCGTGTAACGCGCGGTATAATTCGAACTCGGCCAACCGATGAATCAATGACGTTATCCGGTGTCCACCTGCATACATACGTCCTCTTGATATTTGCAACGTTAATGCCGAACTAGATCGTGGCTAACGTTTGTTTTAGCAGGCTAACGTGGAAAGGGAGACGGATGAACGAGGAGACGGTCAAGTGGGGTGGTCCGTGCGTCTATGCAGTCGTTTTTGTAGCTATCGACTATGGCGGTTACCTCTCGGCCTGATACACGGCCTAGGAATTCGCGAAATCCGAATGCAACTGGCAAATTGCTGTCCAAGAATCCGACGGTGGAATTCCATTGAACGAAATGCCATCACCGTGTTCTTACCTGGACGCGAAGGAATGGAACCCGGCTCCTGATTTCGGCTCCTTTAGCCTTCCTCTGACATGGGACATACACTGATCGTTCAAAGTTACATCAACTTTCATAAAATGATAGACTTATTTCGGTATTTTCCTATCAATTGATCCGATGAATGGACGTTGTTGAAAGAAAGGATCCACCGATAAATGGTGGTTTGCAACAAGAAGATGAAACTACTTACCAGAGTGCCTGAATAAATACCTCTTAGGATACTCTAATGCCTTTTAGTTGAAGCGATAATACACGGCATTTCGGTCTTTCTACCTCTCTCTTTCCACTTCGGCTTCCTCCCTTCTGCTTGGAACACTCGGTACCTTGACGGTAAATCCTTGGTTCTCTTCAGAGTTGAGTGCTATGGAGAGTTGTCTACGGATTAGAGCTCTATAAGGACTTGGTCAAAGTGGGCTCAAAGCAGGGGGCACTTGAAGAATACACGCAATGTTAAAGGGCGATGAGAAAAATAAGAAGATAGAAGGGTGCTTCGAATGAAAATTTGTTGAAGGGAAGAATTTTAGGAACAAAGAAACAGGGGAGAAATAAACTTTCTCGTATCCTTTAACAAGATTTCTTTATTAAAATAATTAAGCTTAAGAGCTGAAATACATATGAAACTCTAAATGTTTGAAAAATGAATCTCTGCTGTTACTATCGGGCCACCTCGTACGTAGCAGAAACACGCTAGCTCGTGATACGGTGTTAGCCATTAAGGAAATTCGTGCACGATGCAGGACGGTGATCAAAGCGTAAAGTGACCGATACTGGCAAGCGGGGAAACGCGGTCGGTTTGCTGTTCAGCCTCTATTTCAGCCATGATATTTCAGTGGCGCGGCTGACAAATGAGCGGCAATTGCTACTTGGTACACCGTCGGTGCACGAGCAAGCCAGCAGCCAACAACTTTCTATCGCGCAGCCAACCGCCGGCGAAGGCAAATGATTTACCCCGTAATACCGATAGCTTGTATGATCGATTCGAGCATTAATGCTAGGCCCGAATGCACGATCGAGCATTGGCGGTGCGCGACGACCGCCGAATGTATTTCGCTCGGCGTTACACGCCGGCATCGATGCCCGATAGAAGAGAACCTCACCAGAGGCATAAGCAGAAACGGGGATTGATGTTTGTACTCGTACACGCGTACCTCGCTGCAAGAATCATGTATATTTACGCAGCTTCCTACCGGTTGCTGGTCAGTTCGCTTCCATGTCGAATCGCATGCATGAAAGGTCGGCTAATCCGCAACGATCTGTGATTTATCGAGTCTCCCTCTTGCGATTAACCATGCCCGATTCTGTTGCATCCTAGGTGGAAACGCTTCTGAATGTTTGATGGCACTTCGATCTGCGATGCCACGGGTAATGAACCGCTAATGCATTGCGCCCTGTACGTTCGGACTTGTATCGAATGTGGCTCTGACTTTATTAGCCTGTAAATTCAGTGAAGGCTTTAAATTTCCGTGGATCGGTTGTGGATTTTCGGTTCGTTTGGTTAAATCGACTTAGGGTACGTTAGGTGATATTAGGAGAATTTATCTAAATTCAACCTGAAACGATGGAAAAATTCATTAGCACTTGTAATACCGTCTCGTATTTCGCCTTGGTTGAAACGGAACTACGTTATTGACGTATTGCGGTAGCAAAACCGGTTACCTGGTCGCGGCTGGTCGGTCGGTCAGGTCACAAGTAAAATTATTCCCGTCATTAAACTGACGTCCCGGCGCCCTGGAGATGAGGGCGCAGCGTTTACCGGTTTTATGAGTACTTGCGTTTTACTGGTTTAATCTCTGCGGGTTCGCGAACTTGCTGCTTCCAGCTCGCGCGGATACGTATTCAACCGCCTACTTTTAGATCCTCTAATTCATCCTGCTTGGGTTTCGTTTCTTGAAATCTTCATCGGCCTTCTAATTGACCTGTTCCTTTCGTTCATCATTCCGTACGGGGTTCTTGATTTAACCCTGAATTATTCTGCCATATTTGATCCTCCTGTATCGTAGAAACGATGTGCTATACTCGCGAGAGACTATCAAAGGTTTCGTTTATTTTCACTCCATTTAAACGAATAAGTTAATGCTTAGACCGCTTCGAAAGTTGGCTGGAAATATTGTAAGGGACGTGAACCGTCGCTTTTGTATCCGTCGTTTTCATTTCTCCTCCGATCCACAATCCCGTGATTGCACGACGGAAGCGTCTCCTCTTTCCAAACTTCCAACATCCTGCTTCTTGCCAGTTTCATACGCCCCGTGCCGTGCCATCAATCACAGGAAACATTACGGCATTCTCTGGACGAAGCGAAGTTATTTTCCACGGAGAATTCATCGAAACGCATTGGATAAAGGATGCGTCTCTATCAGAGACGAACGAGCTTTTACTTCGATTCAGTGGCGAATCGTGGGTAAAGTTGGGGTCACCCATCAATTCCGTCGAATTCCGTATGGTTCGTCGTAATATACTCGAACGAGGACAACTTTAAAAGCATCCGCGTCCTGGCACGATCGTTAGACGGTTTTACGACAGGATGCAACGTGGATGCATCAGGAGCATAATTTAAAATTAAAACGTGAGACGATCTCCTGTGATATAAATATCTGACGGATATGTTCAGTAATTACGACCCGGAGGCTAAATTAAGTACGATTTCTTCGTGGTTGATGGGGTGCACTGTTCTCACGGTTGCTCCTTTGATTTCAAGACTTCGACACTTTCCTTCCCCCTAGGGGAGACAGAGACGGAAAAAGGGTGAAAGACGCGACTGAAGGGCGGACGAGGGACTTGCCCGCATTGCCGGCTGCACTTTAACAGGCAAGAGCGGCTTTTAGAACAATAGCACTTCGGGGTCTCGAGTGCGTTACCTATTCTTCTGACCAGCAGGATTATTATACGTCGAGAGAACGGGCCCCATTGCCGGATGCCGTAAAGTAGTTAGGAAAGAAGTACGAGCTGCTTTCGCGGGGAAAAAAGAAGCCGTGCGAAATTAAAATTACCTGCTGCATAAAAGTGCATCGAGTTTTCCATTCGTTTGTAGCATGTAGATTAACGAGCGTATGATTTCATCATTGCCTATTTGTAAACTCGTGAGAAAGCAAACGCGTCGCGGAATGTTCGTTCACTGGAAGAATACTCGGGCACATTGATTGCGGTTACGAGGAAGTGGACAGCTTGTAATACGCTCGCGAGTCTCGGCCGCCTACGTCGAAACCGCAGCCGCGAAGCGGATTGTCTCGCAAACCGCATTCGATACACCAAAGTTGACCGATTCGGACGCGGTTCGCATTTTTCACGCTCGTTCGTGTAGAAGAAATGATTTTTTTTATGTCGTGTGAAACAGTATCAAGTATTAGAATATTGAAATCTCAATAATTCAAGCGACAATTTAATAATTATGCAACGTATCTATTTCGTACAGATAACACGAAGCACCGTGCAATTGTCATTAATAAAAAGCTCATCGTGTAACGATCGCAAGATCGAGAGACAGCATTCGGAGAACAGGTTCCAGCGGGTCAGGATCGGCAGTTAAGTTGTACACCGTCGAGTGTAACATTTTGTACGACATGTCGCTCGTTCTTGTTTCGTTCTTCGATTTCGATAATTTCGATAATACTTTCCACGGGCCGGCCCGTTCGGTCCCTCTTGTCGGTGTCTGTATAATGCCCACGATAGTGGATGTGCTAACGATCCGTTAAGTTCGACGGCTAATTAGATCAGCCGTCCGGATGTAACTAATACGAACGAGCGAATGCAAATGATAGCTAACGAACGACTTCTCTCGACCGTTCTGGCCAACGACGAAACGGAAATAAAAAGAAAAAAAAAAAAAGAAAAAAAGAGGGTTGGTTGAAGTTTTTTCGATTACCGATTGGATTCGTGCGATCACGGACCCGCGGTCAAATGAACCTCGCATTTCGATTAGGTGCTTCGCGAGAGGTTTTATGCATGCATTGTGGTCGGTGAGCACAGTCCTTGGTAAAAGTTTCTGCCCCTTCACGCTATGTACGATATAAATTCCATAGAGAATATAATCAATGCAGGATAGGGTAAATTTTCGTACTATGCGGTGCCCTATACTTCAAAAAATGAATGTGACTGAAAATTAAAAAAAATTCTTTTCTCTTAATTATTCGGTTATACCGAATTCATAGTGCCACTGATGCAGTGATAGAAATGGAGTAACAGGCAATTAAAATTTGCAAGAGCCGCAACGAAGGTTTTTTGAGGAATAGCGATAAATAACGATGCAACAACCTGTTGCGAGGCAACGACGAAACTAATTCGACAAACGAACCCTTACTTTGTCACGATCTCCGCCGCTCTAAATTACGTTGCTCCTGATGCTTATTGGTCTTAACTGGTTCGTTATCTGGAATCGATCGATTTAAATGCTCCGTGCGAATTGATACGACCGTGCGGATTGGCCGGCTTCGCGTAATGAGTACAATTAAAGCAGTTATAAAGGTGGATTGTATTTTAGATGTACGCGGCCCAACGAAAGTCATTATGTCCCGCTGTCTGACAGCTACATATGTATAAATGCTCAATTTGCGCGCCAGCGCGCGAAACATTAATCTTATTATTTTAATTACAAAGGATCGGGGTGGAGGGAGCAGGAGGGTTCCGTTCGGCGATGCCTTATAAATATAGATGTCGACCGCAGGTTTTTGACCATGTACAGTCCGCCAAAGTAGTTTCTCCAGTTCTTTCTTCCATCCCTTTTACTCCTTCGGTACTTTTTTATCACACCAATGATGAATTTTCCACGTATCGCTTTCATTTGAATCGGCCTGGTCGTTTTGAAAATCGTGATAGACAAGATACTTGACAGAGAAATTAAAAATCTTTCTGAGTCATACAGGAAGTCGGTTTCGTTCGAATGACATCGTAAAAACGAAAGCAAAGTATCTCATCGTCGAATTAAGCAACTCGGCACGCAAGGGTTTCGCGAATCGAAAACGATATCGTACGGATAACATCGAACGGCGGAGTTTCGATCGAGGAATTACGCGAACGATAACCGGCAATTAATTCGGTGGGCCGTTCTGGCTGGCATGCAACTCTTCAACGGTAACCGATAAATCTTACGTTGACACGGTGTTCCGCGGGCTGAAAGCAGCCTGGGTTCGTTAATTTATACCAATCGCGAGGAACGCTCGTACAAAGAGGCCGTAATAGCGTTCCGAGCTTATTCCATACGGAATTTATTTATTACTATCGGCGTTCCACGTGTTTCAAGTGCCGACATTCGGCATCGCTTTGCCCGCTTCCACCAGATACAACGGGCGAACTCTTTCCGAGGTGCCATATTTGCTGCTTACTTTCTAAATTCTTCCAATAACGAGTCTCGACGGGTACACGTGTTTCGCGTAAATATATCTTACGTGCATAGGTAATACCGTCGATGCGATCGAACCGTGGAAATTCCTCCGCGAAATAGGAAATGTGGGTCGTTGGATAGCCACCTGTACGAGATGCAACTGTGAGAAAATCAGGACGTTCGGAGAATGTCGTCGAGGGTGGCTCTAAAGTGTTGGAGAAATAATCGCGAAACCTTCTTCGGTCACTGATCACCCTCGGTTTTTAATTATCTCGCGAGAAGAAAGCGCAGGCTTTTAATATATTCTAACGAACTATTTTGGTCCGCGGTCGGTAATTAAGATTGATGGCGAGTTCGAATGCGTAATTGCGCTGGACGGAGGCTTTCCTCTTTCCTTTTTTTTTTTTTCTTTCGCCGCAGCGCACTTCATCAATCAAATATCCTTTTTTATTTCTCCTTTCCTTCGAGCTCTCACTCGACCGCTGGTGGTACGCATTCCGAGCAAGCTTCACGCATCTGCCAACGTGAACGGAGCCAGATGGATCGCATTGTGAATGCGCGAGGGCGTAGCAGCCCGCGCGAGTCCTTCCCGTACCGTCTCATTGTGTCCGGGCAAAAAATCGTCGAATGGTATAAAAGCGAAGCTTTCTGCTCGCGGAATCCTCAGTCCATCGGATTAAGGAACAGAGCCACTCGATGCAGCTCATTCTATTGTGCTTATGAGTATACATCGGGAAGAACGACCGGCGGATCGGTGGAAGCTTAAATTTCATTTCCTAAGATTCTGATCCTTTGCCATCGTTTTTCACGATTTCAGGATCTCGATGATTCGAAGCGGGTAAGAATCGGCCGCGAGTCCCGCGACGAAGCCACTTGCCACTGATATCAAAGTCGGCGTTCGTGCATTGTCCGCATTCGTCTAGGTTTGTTCGCGGCGTCTTTTAAAGCGTCTTAGCGGTCGCTCAATAAATTAGCATTGTTCGAACAAGAGCGAGGAGGAGCAAGAGAGGAGACAATTCTCGTGGCACACACCGCGGCGTTCCGCACCTGTTACCTTTTTTAGAGACACGCGGAGAGTAGAGAAGGATAAGAATGGATGCCTTGACTCGCAAGAACAAGGGAATAGAGAGGGAAGGAAAGGGTTCGTTGCTGGACCAAGCAACAGTCTCGAGCGGAAAGCTTCGCTAAACGCGGACGCGGCGAATATGCAACGGCGGTGACTTAATCCGTAGTCTACCACGGGTTAAGCCAGTCCCGGATACACAATGCTGGCCACCCGGTTTCCGCTCTAGTTAGTGCGTAGAGCCCGTAAACAGAATGACAACATGAGCTCTAGACGCTGCAACCGAGTTCCTACTTGTTAGTCGTACAACGAGCACGAAAAAGATTTCACCGCGGCACGACTCCCCTCTAAAGTGGCTCCGCTGATTTGCTCGCCTTCTTCAACCAACCACTTTGTGAGAATGAAAATAACGTTTATCTCTGATGGTTCACGGGATGAGCGGATGGGAAAAATTTTCCAACAATTCTGAAATAATCGAACTCGGTTGATTTTGCTTTTGCTTTTATTTTCAGGCGCTCTTTTTTATCGGAAAACCGATGAGTTTTAGATATTTCATTCAATTCTGTTTTCCTAAAGGAACTCGGTTTTATTTCAGAATGTAGATTATCCTTAGGAGAGGGTAACACAGGTATTTTCGGCGTCCGATCATAAGCTGTTAAACTCGGTAGGTGCATGGCCGGCGCGTCTACCGAGGATAAATCACCAGAGGTTTACGCTGCAGTTTATTGACGGCATAGTCTCGATGGCTTCTGAATTTTACATCGTGTTCCCTAATGCGTTCCCTTGATAGAGGTCTCGTTGTTTGCAGCCGCGCGTGTCAGCGGAGAAATTATGACGCCAAATTCCATTCCAAAAAACGTATTATTTTAAAATCCGCAAAATTACATTGGACTTTTTTTCTATCCAAATTCGATAAATGAAAGTATTTTTCTTAAATTAATAGAAGGTTATAAATTGAATGCATATTTTTCACGGATTACGACACAGTCCTATACATTTTCTCGTTTCACAGCGTTTGTGAAAAGTGAAAAAAAAAAATAAAAATAGAGAGGAAGATTCGTCGTAACCATGGCATCGGAGTTGCATAAATAACGCTGATTGTTCTCGGCGCCGAAATTTTCGCTGGGAAATCAATAATCGAATAATACCTGCAAACCGGGGAAATTAGTTCTCCCGAAATTTCATGTAATCTCGAGGGCTTGAGTTCTAATATGTAAATCCTCTGACATAACGGCCAGTTCGTTTTAGCGTGCTCCGATTACCGCCCTTGCAGCCGGATTTCGCGGGAGAACGTTTCCGTATTAACCATTCACGCGACATTAGTACGAATTATCCTTTTTCCCTTGCTTATCAACTGACCGGGAATAAATCGGCCTGCTGGTCTGTATTAACTCAACTTGCCGCTTAATAAAAGTCACGAGAGATTATAGCTGGCAATCTGTACGTGGGATCGTTAATGGATTGCGCAATTAATTCTTTTCGTTCCTTTCTGTTGGGCAAAGAACACGGGTGATTACAAAAGTAGATATATTTTTGCAGACGATCGTCACGCGATGCGGTTTTCCGTTCTCATTGCACGCATTTCCTTACATGGCTGACCGCAAACCATCCACATCTACTGTGAGTGTACTTATGTACGTTACCTTGACGTGGAATTCTTTTATCGTGTACGGGGAATGTGTTATCACTGCTACTGCATGTTACAATCATAATTGTTAATGATATTGTTGCGGTATGTTGAAGTTACGGTAGACTCTCGTGACTAAAAATTATAAACAGCTCTATTTCGTAAGGTAACTTTTCTTGTTTTACACTTATTTAATTACTGTGTCAAATATTGGCGATTTCTTGAAGGCTCTCAGGCAGAAACATACCGAGTCATCGCGTGTTCGAATATCAGTTCGGAATATCTTCGAAGTCGGCCTATTTGGCAATGTATCTCGCTGGCGTTCCCGAGAAGACCTCTTTTCCGTTTTCCGTTCGCGGCACAAGAGATCGCTAGTCGTCGAGAGAAAATGCGCTTTCCTGTCGAGTTTTTACATTTGAATGAAGCCAAAAGGAGAGAAGAGGAGAAAGAAGGGATCCCGGCCGTGTTTCGAATTCGTTGGCGCGAACTACCGTCAACGCGTTCCTTCCTTCTTTCGCCCCCTTTTTCTCCCAATTTTCACCCCCGAGAGACCGCCGCAGTAGTCGTTGATTTATTTATTTCCTCGTGTTTCGCGTTGTCGTCTCGCCTCGTTCTTCTTCTTCATCGCCGTCTCGTTGTTGTTTCCCTTCACCCATTTCGTTCGATTTCCTCCGTTCCGACGTCTTTGTCGTCGTTTGACGACATTCGAGGCTTCCTGACTTTGACGTCGCCCAGGAGCCGCCGATTTCCGGCAATTCACATCGCCGGAGGACCAAGCTGAAGTGCAGTATTCAAAGGTTTGACTTGTTCCTTCCTCGGGAACAAGTCTTCCTTCTTTTCCAGTTTGCTCGCCGTAGTAGCTTCTCTACTTCTTCTGTATCTCCTTATCTTTTTCTCTTCTTTTCGACGGTCGATGGAGCGACGTCTGAAGTAACTTGTTCCATTATCGCCGCGCTAAGAGACTGTTAACAGATGAAAGACAAACTACGTTGAAGGGAACAAGACGAGTGTGCTCGTTTGATGGTCGTGGATCTAATTCAGTCGTCTCGAGACGGTCGCGATTTTTCTTCGCGCAAGGAATATTTGCGGATGCTTTTCGCGACGGGGCGTGCGTTACTTCTGTTCTATTTGGAATACTTTGCGAAGTGAACCCATTAATTTTCAAGTTTTTGAGAAACGAGCGCTAATTTGAAACAACACGCGAAATCGCACGCATTGATTTTCAATCCTTCGCGAAATTACATTAATTTCCAATCCTTCGTTAAGCCTCGGTAATTTTCAATTCGTTTCATACACGGATATACCGAGGAGAAATGAAACTATCGATCAGGAGAAATTCTGACGAGACGCAGGAAGAATTCCTCGGCTGGTAAGCGCTCTCTTCCCTCTCGTCTATCTCCCCTCCTCACTTTTGGGATTGAATTTTAACGTCGACAGAGTCGTCGATTTCCGGAAACGATCTTGGCAAAGAATCGTGCCAAGCTGCAGTCTCGGAGGGATCGATCGTTAGCTTTGATCTTATTGCTTTACGTTCTCTGCTCCCTTTTGTACCCTCGTTCCGACGTTTCCTCTTCTCGGCAGCCCTGTCAGAATTTTTACAACGATTCATACAAATTGACTCCCTCTTTCTTCCGGTTATCTTACACTTCTTTTCTTTCTGTCGAACAAATTTTAAATTACCATTAAACCTTAGTTGGTATCGTTGGACGATACCTTCTCTCGCCACCGATCGACCACATCGCGCTACAAAGAAAATAATAGCCGTCAGGATCGCGTTCGAAAGCGCATTAATCGCGGCTAAACACGACGCGTTACGTACGATCTTTCTTGCTTCGGCCCGGTGGGGGCGATTGGTGATTTAATAAGGCTATATTTTGTATTGATTCATAAATACATCTTGCGTGAACGCGAGAGCGCCCGGCCACCATTAAGCGATTGATCGCCGTGCAATTTGTAATCAATAAATCTGGAGAACGATCCCAGCCATGGCGCTGTACTTGGATGTTCGTGAAGAAAACCGGAATGAAAGATTTTTCTAGGAAAAGAGCATCATCTGCTCGTTATTTGCAATGATCGAAATAGAAGTCTGAACAAGTTGGTGTAATTTGAGGAATTCAAGTTAAATTTTACCTTCCCGTATTGGAATCGTTGGATCGTTTAATGTAAATTATTATCATTATTTTTTCTCATCACGTTCGACGTATTTCATTATATTCCAAATATCGTGCACACGAGAATTTTGCCGATGAAAGGTTCACGAGATCCTGTAGACACGCACGGCAATTTCGCAGGCTTGATTTTACGATGAATACTTTATCAGGGTGAGATGCAACTCTAGCTCGGAGCGGATAATTTATCGACGATAAAGAATGCAGATGAAAAACACACAAAACTTCGTGTTGTTCGCGTATTCTGTGTCAGAGTCACTCGACAACGGGATCTATCACCGTGAAACATACTTATTTTCTGTAATACGCTTGTTCACACACGGCTACGCCCGTGTCTCTTGTTTGCTCGGATAAGATTGTGCCTTCTGGTTCGCTGAAAATCTTGTTGAAATGTATTTTCTTGCATCTCTTGTTTTTTTTTCCCCTCCCGTGCAACGAGACGTTCGCCGCGACAAAATACATACACGTAATGAAAAATTCTCTCGCTCGCATTTTATTTTTACCGAGATTCGTTTGTGCAAGAACGACGTTGTTAACGATGTTGCTTCACTGGATGACGTATTTTAAGTTGAAAACGAACGTATCTTGAGAAACATGCTCAGCTGCAGATGTGGAACACGTCAAGCGCTGTAGAATACTAAAAATTCTCAATGTTAAAATCATTTCTAAAACCGTGTACGGTGTATCGATGGCATAAATTTGGTACTCGTTATCAGATAATACAAGCGGTCGAAACCAGGAACATTAATCGAGGGCATATAATTAAACGTTCGTGTAATCGTGCTCCGTAATGGCACGGTTTCGTATCAATTCAGATCTTCATCGAGTATCGGCGCATGTGGTTATTAATAAAATGTTTCAATCTAATCGATAATCCGTGGATGGGATGCGAGTAGCGCAAAGAGACCGTTGGAAATCGTCGTTTCACGAGTGAACACGTCGAAGGTATAGCTCGCTTTTCATAGATCGTACGGTAGATTTTAATATCAGCCGAGCGTTGCACGAAGAAATCCCATGGAATCGATGAAAAATCGTCTCGGTTATGGCAGACGGTTCCATACGTAGAGTCACGTGAACAACGGACACGAAGAGAGAAGACAGTGTTTGAGCGTTGTGCGCCAGTAACACAGCGTTCGCGTGTAGAAACCTATAAGGACGCGCGTGTACGCCGAGTAAACACACATCACTTCGGGGTCGACGTTCAGGGATCGTGCACGGAACGAGTCGTGAGCAGCCTAGAGCCGACACGACGCTGGAATTTCTCGACAAATAGGCGAATATGCACATAAATACATAACAAAGGCCCGTGACGGGTACCTCGAATCGCATAAGGACGCCGACGGACGAAAAGGAGACGACAACTAGGACGACGACAACGAAAGGGAAGAAGAATAAATGGTGGCGGAGGTGGAGAAGAAAGAGAGAACGGAACGGAAACCGGCCGTGATTCCTCGAGAACGAATGTCACGCGTGCTGTCAACCGCTTACACCAACTCGATATAACTCACTTTATTACCAGGTACGTTGCCTGGAAAATGAATTATTGAAAACGTGCCTCGAGACGCCGCGTTGGCGAGCAGAGAGCGTGCGTCTACGTAAGCCACTCGGCCGGCCATTAGTAGCACGTTAAGCAGTTTGATCGCTGGATATAGCCGCCCCGTGTACCGCCTATGGCTTGGAAATTAAGAGCGACAGGGCCTCGATCGAAATTAATCCGTAATCGTTGAAAGCAAGCCGGACATGAAATATGCCAAGCCTTTCGCGGCGCGTTACACGATAATAGCGCCGCGAATAATCTCACCGCCAATTAATTAAGCTGGTCGTCGAAATTCTATTTCATGATAAAGATCACCTTAAAGTGGTAAATAATTTTTAGTAGCAAAAGAGGTAATTGTTGGTCGGTTACGAAAGAAATTCCCAAACTTGACCCATTTTTAGACGTCTCAGTGCGGTGTAAGGGTAAGAGAGATAGAGAGGCTCATTATCGATTGTTCTAGGTTACAATCGGGGAACGTTGTTGAAGCCGCAGCCAAGATCGAGGAGAATGTCGTGGATTCAGCGCGGTATGACGATCACGCCTGTAATCAATTGTACGCATAGTCGCGGCCATCGGTTTGCCCTAGCATTTCGCAATATTCGCGTCTATCCCAGTGGATTCGTGTGTATCCGCTCGTACATGTGTCCTTGCTCAACTGTGTATGCGCAGCATGCGAAAAATTAATTCCGTACATGATTTGCATATACACCCTGTTAAGCAATACCCTGCACCTAACGAACGCGACCGAGCGAGCCTTTACGATGCGCGACTAGATTAAAAAGCAAATATAATTTTTCGCTGTTTATAAGGGACCGCCCTTTATTCGCTAGTTTACTAGCCGTTGCTTATGCGATCAACCTGTTTAAAATAACCCCTGTATTTAAATAATTATTTCGAATATCTTGGAAGAATATTTTACGATACTCGCAATGAGCTTTTAACTAGCAAGAGCAATATTTGTCTCTAGCCGGATGGGAGTATGAAACCGCGATTCACCGGACGTATTACGCACGATTATGATTATTTTCTTGAATGTATAGCTGGCAGTGGCCGGGCCATGTTATTAATACAGAGGAAAGCATGGACACCCTGCTGTGGTCCTCACGATACACCATGGGCAAGGCCCTGACCTCGGGGCCTCACCATCGCCAGGGTCTACCAGGCAATGGTTCATGGGTTCCTACATGCGGCATCACATACGGTGAGAGCCGCACGATTGTTTCTCATTCTTCCTTTTCTATTCGATTTCGTGGACTGCCTTTGCTATCAAAGCAAAACATCAGGGTCTTTTTTTTTTCCCAAACGAAATATGAATTTCATAGAATTTACTTCGGGGGTCAGCACCGTGCGATTCTTCAAATCGAATCTATAGGCAATTAGAAGAAATGGTAAATTACATATTATCTATTATTCGAAGCGTAACATTGAAAACCCCCCGTTGTTATGGTTACGGTTGAAAAATCTTTGTTTGCACGAGGCTCGTACGTTTCGCGATACTAAGTGTTTGCAGGAGTAATTCTCGTTTTAAAGAGGCGACCGGATGTTTGTTATTTACCGGGCGGTCAGGTGCGAATGTAGATAATCGTAAATCGTGAGGGGAGCAGGGAGACACCGTTGTCTTATCGACGTTGGAAGGAGTCGTTCCAGGTCGAAAGAACGAAGGACACGCGTAAGAGGAAGGGTTGCTAGGGGTATGATGAAAATGATATAAGTTTACATAGAGGTAGGTATGTTAATGTACAGCATAAATAAGGAGAGGGCATTTGGTGCCTAATAGGACGCTAATTGTGATTATATACAACACAGCCAGCTCGGATGCAGCCTGAATTTTATATACCTATATAACATTTATTGCCAGCCGTCCGGACCGGTCGAGCACGGACCAGCAAAAATCCGCAACGCTTGGGAATTTATAGTAATGAAAGGATGGAGATTTATCGGGCGTTATTGCTTTACAAATGATCCGATATCCTGGCCCGCTCTGCTGGTACTCATAATGGTTAATTCGTGCAAGCAGGATCTTTCGAAGCTTCGCCATTACACGGATCGAGGATACGCGAGGAGAACGAGCTTTCTTCCATTCTCGAGCGCGCGTTTATTAATCGCGAACCGGTATATATATGTAGTATATATTTCTTTTTCTTCCTCTTGGTCGTTCGAATTAATCTCGACGAGCCACCATTCCGTTGACGGGGAGAATCAGTAACATACGGAGAGAATGATTACTGAATACCCTTTTCGAAGTTGTTGAACTTGTAACTTCTGTATACGCGATGATGGTTCGCTATTTGCTTTCGGAGAACATTCGTACCTGGACGTTGATGAAACTTTCTTCCTCTGTAATTTGTAATCTGACGATGCTCGATCTACTTGCTACTTCGGTTGATGAATTGATTTAGATGTCGGATGGTGACGTATTCGATCCCATTAGCAATCATTAGATCCCGACCTGACCCAACTTCTCGGGTACATGCACATCCCTAGATTTCTGAAGTACGTACTAACGCGTATTCTATTTATCTTCCAAAAATGTAAGGTGTATTTTAAACAAGATCGAAGGTATTTGGCGTTCGCCGAACGAGTGGACACGAATAAATTGAAATACGATTGGCGCGAATGCTGGTGGGATAGGGAGAGAAGAAAGGGAGAAAGGTGTACGACCAAATAACTCTCGGTGGGATAGAAAAAGGAGCGACGGGAACCGGAGTCGGCAGTTTATGCAGCCATTACCACAGGTGAACGCCGCAAGCAATACGTTGGGTTACGCTGATTTAAAAGCACTCTTAGATTCGGTCTACTCTCCTACCTTTCTTCTACTACGGTTACAAAAGATCTCTCTGTATTCTTCGCTGTTTCTTTTTCCCTTTGTTCTATATTGTTGAAATGAATCTTGTTCTTAGAACACATATCAACACTTGATATATATATAAACAATGTGCCTTTGACTATATTTTTTTGTGATCGCTATGAGCATTTCGTAGCTAAATCCGACAGCAACGTTTCATTAAGAAACAGGGGAGGAAAATGACAGAGGTACTCAATTATCCGTACAATTTCCATGGTTCCCTGGAGGTTACACGGACGATGCAATTTTTCTGAAATTTTTAAGGTAATCTGGAAATTAGTCGAAATAAATTGTCCAGACTTTTCCTTTGTTTTTCGTCCACGCTCGCGAAGCATTCGTTTTCACCGGGCGATATTTTCCACGAAGTAACGTTGATTTTTCGAACTCTCCGCTCTGATAAATTCGCCAAGCTAGTGGCGTACCATTGCGCAGATAAGCTTTATTACGTTTTTAAGGTGAATGCACCGTGCACAGGGAAGAATATCAATTTTTTCTTTCGATGCCGGTTTAAAAGGTCAACCAACCACTCGCATCGGCTCGCGCTATTTGTATTCGTGCCCGTTGCACTTGCATACAACACAAGGGAACATATTGGATCGACGGCCAGGCTGATGTCGTCCAATACTTGTTCTTTATTGGATGTAAGTGCAGCCAGCGTAAATAATCTTTTGTGCTCATTTTATTACTGCATCCGCCGGCGTATTTTTATGCCCTGTTATCTGGACCCATGGTTTCTAGCGATACGAAAGCGAATAGGTTCCGTGCACCACGCTGATATCGTTGATGCACGGTTATGGATTTAGGTTCGTCAACAAAAAAAAAAAAAAAAAAAGGCAAATTCGATGGCCGCTGGTTGGAAATGTAGGTACACATAGGAGAGAAAAAACGAATCAAAGGTTTTTATTGTACGATGTTACGCGTGTCGAATAAAATTACACAGTTGTTTAGTTACTCGTATTAAATCATCGATGTTGTTACAATTATTTCATCGAAAATATTGAGTACAGTTCGTTTATGAATTTTCAAAATCAATTTAACTCACCTGTTATCGCTGTTGAACGGAATCACAAATCTAGTACGATTAAATAAAACAGGAAATTTTAAATGACCTTACTATATAACCGCGATGGTCAAACTTTTAAGAATATTTAATACCCTCTGTACCTATATTTTTCTGCCAACTTCGCCAAACAACCGGTACAATTCGCTGTATTTCGCGAGGAAAAATGTTGCTCAGGTTGACGCGTATAATTAAACGTTCGCGTTAGTCTCTACGGTAGATTTCCGTCATTATTCGTCCCGTGTAATTATACACTTTCCGCCATCGTTCACATAAACGGTCGATTCTTTTTCTTCCGGGTATGTCCCGGTCGTATGCTGATTTCCCCAGGATACCATTGTTCGGTTAAACGTGACGCTCCGACTCGCAACCGAATTTATGAACCTCTCGAACTTTTCATCCGCGATGTTCAGAAAAAAGAGAGACGACGGGAGAAAGAGAGGCGCCATTCAAAGGACCGTTGAATTAAATTCCCCTTCCCGTATAGAAATACTCTATTACCGGCGGAAAACGATGGCACGGAATTTCATATGACCCGTTCGCTTGACTGACTACCAATATCGGTACGTCTTCGACGTATGGATAAAACGCGAGGAAAACGAGATAAGGGGGATAAGCGTAAAACCGGGCGGGGGTAGATACGACGTCTCCGTCGTAACGCAACGGGATGAAACAAAATAAGTGGAAGGAAGAGCGATGGAAAGAAAAAAAGAAAAGGGAACGGTGACAAAGTAACCAGTTCCGACGATATTACTGGAATTTTCATATTAAATATTTTTTATTGAAATGAAAGGAGAAAAGGATTATCGTAAATATCATTGGCTAGAAGGAAGGGGAATTTCTTATCGCGGATACATTTACTTTTCCTGCGTAAGAACTACTTTGATGCACTTAATTAAGTCGTGACATTTTGGTCTGGCATTTTAGCAAAGGTCGCAAAGAATTTTAAATGATATCGGAACGGTTGTAGGTCGGAAAGAAACTTACGAATAGAAATTTTTCATTTAGTTAACGTTACGATCAACCTTCGCTGTTCTGGTCTAAGTAACTTATAAACTGTTAGCGTTCTCCAGACATTTTCAGCAGTGGCGCAAATAAGTCGGGGAGCAGGGAAAAATAGAGTCATATTTTTGGGGGCAGCTGTGTCTGCACCATCTCCGCAGAGATTCTAATAAGAGCCGCATAAAACTCAGAAATTAATGTCTTCTACCTATCTCTTTCTCTTTTCCTCCAACACACTGTTTGTAACGTTTCATCGTGCCACAGGGCACGCAGAAGTTCTTGCCACCTTTTTCACGCCGTACCCTTTTTTCTTTACCCTTTCGCACGAGAAACCGCCTGCGCTGACGTAATCGGACCCTCGTTGATCTATAACGAAGGAATATCACGCTTTAACTGCCTTCTCATAGTATTAAATTTGTTCCAGATGAATCGCGATTTTTTCGCTTTCGCGATACTTAAGGGTCTGACAGATTGCTCTATAAGATTATTCCTGGAGAAATATTATCACGAACCCTATTATTATTAATCTGTATATTAATGCGATAATGTAAATTCCTTGGATAGAGATTTATCGCAGCATTGAGAAACTATTGAGCAAACTTATTTGCATAAATTTTTATAGAGCAAGCAACGATCGATCAATGAAATTAATTTTCATATCCGTGATAAATCTAATTACAAAAACCTTGTGTTATATCTACATAAGATTAAGTGGACACGTGACAATGTAGATAACACGGTAGCTCGCGATATAAGTTTAGGAAAAATAGTTGAAAACAGAGAACCGTAGGTTCCTCTGTACAAAGAATAATGTCGTTTTAAAGGAATTCGTCGACACGACAGCTCGTGCTGTACATTCGTACACTTTCCTTCAATTTTTTGTCCGATTTACATTCGCAGTCTTTCATGTTTCATACATATTCAACGGGCACACACGGCTGCGGGTATAAAATCTATTTCAGAAATCGTTACACACCGTTCACATTGCATTTTCGCGTATAATTACATAAGCCAGCTGCCATAATGATAAAGGAGATTGCATTATCGCTGGACTCCAGGCCAACATTTCCATCGATCAAATTCCTTCCGGCCCGTAAGCGAGGTTATTTAACGGGAAAATGTAATAAATTGTAGAAGCTGTCTCCCTTCCTCCTCTTTTGCCTCGTAACGACACTCGGGCATCCAGTAAAGCGTTCGTTCGCGATGCTTTCTCGCGGAAACCAGAAGAATCAAGCGAAGAGCGAAAAAAAAAAAGGGAGGGTGGATGACATATTTTTCCGGTCGGATGGGAAATCGGAAAACTAATTTATGCGATCGACGAAGCCGGGCTTCTCGTGCCGCATAATGCTTGCTGCTCGAGTATAAACAGTCTCCTGCTGCCGTGAAGTATGATTTAACTATTGCTGTCAACGTGTCATGCATCGTTTGTCACGTTGATTAATTTACCTTTGCTCCGATATACCTTTCATTGATTTTCTTGCTCGCTTTCTACCCGATATACTTTCGATAATTAATCATTTCCTCTCCTACGGGTGACTATTGTCGGCTACCTTCTGATTCGACGGTTAAATCTCTTCGAGGAAAACAGTTTCGTAGGATGTTTCGAGGAAGCGGATGAATATTTTCTAGCAACGTAATTGAATTTCGGTCTCGATTACGTTGGCCGACTTCCCGCCAACGAATGGTAGGTGGAACGATTAGCATTAACAGAAAGCCGGGAAAGTTTTCATCGTTGTTAGTCGTTAGTTGGCGACAGTTGGGGAACAACGATGCCATCGTATCGTGGAATCGAAGATAGCGGAGATGGGTCAGCAGCCAGTCTAACTCCGCATACAAAGGGACACCGCGTCCAGGTCGAAGTTACCAAACAACAGAGAATATTCTGTGCTTAGCATCGAGCGAAGTGAAACAAACTTATAATTAGTTATGGGAGCTTGTACCGAGATTGATGCTTGCATTCGCAGCTGCGAGTTGCGCGAACCACGTAATATTCCGTACTTGCCAAGTTTACTGCAGAAATTCTTGCATCCCTTGCCCTTCGTGGAGGATCCTCGATGATTTCGCAAAAAAAATCAATCTCTTCATCTTCCTGTATGATTTCGAATAAATAACAATTTGGTAGTATTTTTGAAAGGGGTTGAAAGATACTCGCGTAGAATCCAGGAGGGTGTGTGTAAGTCAAGTCGATAGGGTGAAGGGAAAGGGATACTCACGGAGGTCCATAAAAAAGCATACGAGCGGGATCGTATGCATTTTTAAGGGCACTAACCCTGTCGATGGTTCTTACCGAGACTTACCGCTGAGACTTGGCTTTTTATAGGCAGTCCCTTGCATCCTGGAAAGGGCGCATGATTCGACAAGAGTTAGGTCAGTGGGTCGTGTTACAAGGGAATCCGTAGAGATCAGGGAACGTGGCTTCGACATTTGCGAATAACCTGGCGCGATCAATTGATCGCCTCGTTCCATTGTTATATCCTTTTTTTTTTATTGGAATATAAAACAGAAATAATTCAATGTTTTTACGTGCGGCCACCAAGCGGAGTTGTTCGCGTGACGCGAGCTCGAAGCGTTTTTGCGAATCACCTCATCGAATATTCGCTATGAATTTATGATCCCGGCGATTAAATTTGCTTCTTTAATACGTCCTGCCTATTCATTCGCAATATTCCTCTATAACTGGCAGTACGCAAAAGGTACAGTGTAGCGCAAAAATATTATCGCGAGTGTACATTCGCGTTCAACGGGTGCTTTAATGAACATTAAAATTCGACGAGCAAACATCGTCATATAATTGCATCCTGTTGCTTAGCTAATGAAAGCAGAAATCATGATGTCTTGCTAATTAGATTGATCGGTTCGATAACTTTATCGATTTGGATTTTGCATAACAACGATAGAGGGAGATAGAGAAAATCTTTCTTCATTCTCTGCAAGTTGAACAGAGATTACTTTGATAACCACTTTGGTGATTGCTCGGGTATTCAACGCGGAGCCAGCGAATTATTAATTAAAAGAGCTTCCGGTACAAGTTACCCGGGATCCTTTAAGTAATTTCGTAATTCGACCGTGGCGCAAAACGAGGAGGGAGTTAGATGGTTTTAATATCGTAGCCGAATAGAAATTTCGCTGTTTCCAACTCGGCTACCTGTGACGACCACGCGTTATCTGATCAACGCGACGAGGATTTTCTTTTTAATAATCATCAGATAAAAACTGGCGTGATTCTTTCGATCGCCCTCTTCTACTAGGAAAATCGATGACTAATTATCAAACTAAGAAGATTAACGATTAAATCCAGCGCGATACGATGGAACTTCATTAATTACGTTCACGTGCTCGTTAATTCTGAACGTCGATCTCGTCGAAAACGTAGCCTAGATTCAACGTTTCTAATTTCGTGTCCAATTAACGCGTTGCTTTCATCAGAACCGTATCTTATAAAATGAAAACGAGCCATACAATTTTCCACTTAACGTAAAAATAGAGGAAGAAAAAAACTGTAGACCGACCTTGACAATTTCTAACACGAGCAACCGTTCCATTTGTCGAGCTTTCCCTGTTTCTTTTTTCCTCATTCGAATCGCGGTAGGCGAACGAGCTGTTAGGAGGTCATGGCCCCTTGACCTAATTAGGCATTTTCCCTGAGGGTGTAGCACGGTTCAAGGATATTGCGCGGATGTGTGCCCCGAGCTTTTCTTTACTTCGACGACAAGATTCGTGGTGCTGGCTAAATATAACGTTTTATTGCCTGGTGACGGTGGTGATCTTGTTGCATGGTGGCAGATTGTTGCTTTCTGGATGAACGAACGGTTATGCAAACGTACATGATTGCTGTCTACGTCTACAGTAGATAAATACGAACGAGTTACGCTTTCCTCAGGTATCCATCTCGACGGTGTTTCATTTCGATAGACAATATAACGGCTGCGGTTTGCCCGGTTTGTCTACGCCATTAATACGCGCAACTTCGCCTCGGTTCACGCTGCTATCCTTCAAGGATCGGTTATTTGCGATGTCGAAACGAAATACAAATGCGTCTCGAGTATAATTCGCTTAAGGAAACCGATGCAGTTGGCTTGCATCTGATACTCGAGCGAATCGAGCGATATTTTCCCTAGGAAAGCACTACTTTGCTCGATACTGTACATGTACCGTAAGGGATTTTGAACTTGTTAATTTTGACTATGTAATCGGGCTCGTAAATTGTTATTCACACTACTCGGTTCGAATCGATGGTGGAGCGTGTCATAATTACGATTCGGCACGAGCTCCATTAGCTGTGTATTATTTTTGCAGAACGAAACGATGGATGGAGCGGACGCGGTGATGGCGTTAACGGAACGAGCTAGCACGGGCTTTACGTAGTAATTTAACGATTTAAATAACGTTGCCCTGTGCCGAGAGGCCGACGAGTCTGAATTAAAATTTATCGTTCGTTCCCCGAGTCGCGGCGTTATAAATCTGAGCTTGATCTGCTCTTAAGCTGTCGAATCGTTTGATGAATCACACGGCGATCCAGCCGTTCCGTTTAAATAACGTTCGAATCAAGACTGTGTCCCTCGTTCCTTTCATCTTCTTTCTTTTTCCTATTTTCTATTTTCTTTACCATCTGTCTCACTTTTTATAGATCTGTAGCACCGTTGTTCGACATCAATTGATTCGCGATTTACAAACGAGGCGGATAGAAATAAACGTCGGAAATATGAAACCATTTTCTTTCATTTCAAGAAAATTGATTTTATGTGAAAGTCTAGGTGGCACCTTTTTCATCGCCAATTACCGATAATCTAATTAGCTTTGGTAATCGCTAAATTTGATCGCACAAAGATTACATTTCAGCTTGCAAAACGATATATTAACGGGGGTTCATTGCAGTAAATCCACGACGATAACTCGACTTAACCTTAACGGCTGTTCCCGCGAAGTGGCATCGTTCTTCCTGTCCTTTCGATGCTCGTTTACGACCTCACCGCCATTTTATTCGTTGGAAAACACTCGGGACCGATAAAAAAGCCGTCGTAAATCGATGATCACTAATTTTCTTAGACGATATATTAAGCCGAATAAAAGAAATTTCTACGAACGTTCGACGTTCCATTACGAACTTCCGTTTCTTACACCTTGATTTCCATCGTTCTTTTTATCGATGTCGTTCGTTCCTCTTTAACTTCCTTTCATTTTGCTTCAGCGTACGACCATTGTCGTTACTGAGCTGGCTCGTTACAGCTCTCATCAAACGGAAGGTTCGAGTAGCATAATATCGTATTAATTACACATCGAATAGCTTGAATTAATTAAAATCTATCGTCTCTTCAATCGTTGGGAATTATAGTTCCCAGATTTCTTTTCCCTCTGTTAGCGTCTTTCAAACAGTAATTCGTTTAATTTTGGTCGATGGAAATAAAACGCGTGTATGTTAATTAAATAATACTAAATTACTTCTGTCTCAGTCAATAGTAGGGATCGTGTATTTTTGACGGGAAAGAAATTATCCAGATAGATATATTTAATTTCATAATCTTCGAAGATAATGTTTATTTTCATGTCTAGAATACAATATACACGAATGTCTTCTAATCGCAAAAAGGAAGCAGTTTAAATCTGGAGGCGTGGGCGGGTGACAGGGTATCACCGGTGTCAAACAATCAGCTGGTTTCGTGTACCAGGTCGAAGCGTGGGTTATCTCTATCCTTCGGTGTGTCTCTGGCCGAATCTTTATCCTACGGATCATCCTCGATCCCGTGGTTTTAGTACGCTGTAAAAGCTTCGCTTCCATGACATGCTTTATATCAGCGTCGCAATCGTATTTCAAACGCGGGGATAGGACTGCCATTCCCGTTGGCTGCTCGACGATGCAGCTCCTTGCGATTCTTCTCGTTTTTTTCACTCTCTGCTGATCCAGGTAAGAATACAACCATGATCGGTGAATACCCCGCAGCTGGTACTGAAATATATCAAAACGTTTAGTAGCGCGTGAAATACAAAGTTTATGAGAAACATTCGAGGTTGAGTTAGAAAATTTAATTGTTTTTAATAGAAAATTGCTGCGAATGTAATTTTACGTTTTCAAAATTTTCAATATTCTAGCTTCGCTAAGGATACTAAGGGAATAGTATTGCATGAGTAATTTTCGCGTTATCTCCGTTGTAAAACCTGGAATTCCACGCATGACTAATGTGTTACGAACCTTTCGGAGGAAAGAGCATCGACGCGTGCAGCAGCCACGTAATGCAATCATAAATTCTTCAGCAGTTCAGTAACGTGTATCCCACGTTCTATTACTAATGTGCACACTGAGAGAAGATTGGAAGCCGAGATTCCACGAAGGGAAAACTGGCCTTAAAACGATCATCCGAAATTCATGAATATCTCTATTCATTTTGAGAGATACTATGTAACATGATGTATGTTTATTCGGGAAGTACATCTACTGCGTTCCTTTGAAATGGGATTAATATTGTTTTAAGTTGTGTACTGTTTCTTCGCACACCGGTGAAGTGTGCCAGCTAAGGGTTAATAAGAAATTAAGAATCTTTTTTTTAATAACATAATCCCCTCGATTATAATCAGGCAACAAGGTCTGTGCTTTTGTCTCTGATTCACAGCTACCGAGGTTTCGGTGACTGCTTAAAAAGCAATTTACCACCGTGAAATCCAACACTGACTTAACTCGGACCCTTTTTATGTCCGTTTCGTGGGTTTGTGAACGTTTGATGCTCGAGACGTGTCGTGCAGTTCCCATTCACGAACAGTGAATTTCTTGTCTTCCTCCCTCTCGTTCAGTCGTTTCTCTATACAAGAATCGGTCGTCCACGTCGCGTTTCAGGTTCATAATTCCTGAAAAGTTCATAACTTCCGAGAACTCAACGAAGGAAGGCGGTAAACGCCAGGGTGCAAACTTGGCGCCATTAATATAGGGTCGACGCTCGTTTATACGCGGCAGCGACGTATTAGTTCCCGCATAGAGATAATAACGCGAACCATGTCAGCCACGCGATAAAATGTCCGCCACAGTGTCATATTTTCGGCCGTGTCTCGCGAATTTCAACCATGTGCCACCGCGTGAAACAGATACGACACCACGCGTGTGTTTTATCTGTTTCCTGACGCCTCTGATTACTTTTTTCATCGAACCTTGAGATTCTTTATTAATATATAATTATTGTATGATTAATTATCAGAGGTTGATGAATTAACAAAACCGTAAGAATTGTTTTTACTAATTTAAAAGCATTTGATTCTATTCGTAAGTAAATACACGTCTTGCATCTTTTTGCCACGTAGACGGCTGTCGTCGTGAAAGTCCTCCAATACCACTGAAATCCTCCCCGGGCGACGTAAAATCGGCGTCGCCGTAAATCCGATCAACCGGACGCAGGTGATCGCTAACTTATTTTACGATTGCCATAATAAAAGCGTCGGGAGACCGTCAGAGATGCTTGCTGAACGGTAGGCGTTCCGACGTTTCGAATCGCTTGTCTTTGCTTCGATGCTTCTTTTATCGTTTTGCTCGATGTTCGTCGATACTCGCGCGTAGGATTATACAAGTAAACGCGAGAGGATATACGATGACAATCTTGACGGATGGGCGTAGGATTTTTTTTTTTCTGAAACGGCGAGTCAGATAATATTTAACAGATAAAATCACAGATAATATTAATATTACAGTAGTCTCTCGTTATATTGCCGCGGTGAGGGTAAACATTTTTTAAGCTTCCAAACTTTAATTAACTAATCATTTACAATTTTTACATTTTCGTAAATATCAGGTACCCGCACATCCCTACTGCACGCAATTCTTCACCCTTTGCTTACGAAAATCGAACGTTAACTCGAGTACCGCAGCTTCTCGATTTTCCCGATTGCTAGGGGCATTGATTTATCGTGGCAATCTTGGTAAAGCGAAACGTGGTTTCCAGTGCTCGCGAAGTAAACCGGCATTTCGCAGTCGCGAGATCAGTAACGAAGAATAATTGAAACGGCAGTAGGTGCGACCGAAGCATTGGAAGCACAGAGAGCGTGTCTCTCTGCGAAATCCCTGACGGTATATTTCGCTTCCTAACGATTTTTCGATATCTCTAAGCGTTTTTATTCGTCCGAACGATGCAGCGAGGATAACGCATAGATATCCAGTGAATTTTATTTCTCTCGAACGATACTATCCGCCGAACAGAAATTTATGAAAACATTTATGAAGTCGTTGTCTGAGTCGAGCGAACGGTAAGCGAAGCATGAAAACAAAACAAAACAAAACAAGGCGAGATATATTCGTGACAACAACACGGCTTAACGTCCTAATCCTTCGATACGAAAGGACGGCTCTTCAGTTGCCTCGCACAAGGCCAACCGTGAACATGTGTTTCGTTGACGAGATTGTTTTCGTCGGCTATTCGTTTCACGACGCGATCCGTTCGTTTTCTGCCTGTGTCTCGTTGTTTGTTTCAACGCGTTTGTTATCGCGGGTGGTTCTCGTCGAGTTTTGTTTCTCGAACCGTTACGACGACGTGCGTCGCGTAAAACTTGATCGTTCGCCGCCGTGGAATACGCTTCTCTCTTTTACGCGAGGATAAAGTGTCCTGGTTTATTCCTGTTGACCGGTCAGCGGCATCCATCTTGTTTTGTTCGGCGGCGAGAAGATTCGCAAGTGAAGCCTGTTTTTGCCCGATTTGATATGGAACGACCCAACGGTAAGTGATCATTCACTCCTAGCTGTTCAAGGGTTACATTTTCTTTTATTTATTGTATAATCATTGGTGAAGAACAGTAGCAGTAAATTAGGAATAGATATAAGAAATATGATCACTTGTCTATCTTGTATGATTAACCCTGGTACTCTTCTGATTAACACCACGTCGCTTGTGAAAGCTTTTTAAAACGATCAATCGACGACGATTAATCGCGACATAATTCCATCAATTTCCCATCCAAGGTGGGACGTGCGTTAATTCGCAGCGAAACGTGTAACACGGTCTCGCGCGTTGATCCCCCTTTGACGCGGGGAAACGACCGTCGCGTTTCGTACGTGATGAGCGGAAAGCGGTGTAAAACGCGGAATACAACGAAAATTCCATAACTGGTACGCGAATAATCGTGCGCAAAGTAACACGAATAATTTTATATCCGATATATCGTTGGACACGGATATTCGTTGGGAAAGCCATACGCCGGCCAACATTTTATTTCTTTGAACATCAAAATTTTGGGTTTCTTCATGTCAGCTTCATTACAGTCGAGAAATCGTCGGAATGATTTAACTTCAGAGTCGCCTTAAATCGAGAAGGACCCTGGACAAATCAGATCCTCGTTGTCGTCATTCGCCGGTTCTTCCCTTTCGTTTACGCGTCGACGAAGAGGAGGCTTGACATTAATAGTCTCGCGGCGGATAAGCCGTTTTTGAAATGACGTTCGAAGGGAATAATACATGGAGGGTCACTTCTCGGGCTCGTCTCTACCCCAGCGAACGGACGTCCCTTTTCAAATAACGCATTCGAAGTCCTTTCCTTTTCGGCAAAGTGAAGGACCTTTCAGCGAGACTTCCACCCTTACCGATCGTCTCACACTTTTCTGTAGATCTATCTATTCGGGTGTATGCGCGCATGGACCTGGCTAGCCATAATGTACAGGGTGTTCTGGAATATCAAATCATATAAAAACTAGTGGCAATTATAAAAAGAAGAATAAAATCTTAAATGGAAAATGCTCCGTTCCATCATTAAAAAATAAATTATTAAAATAATTTCGATAATTGTAACAGAGCAGCACGATTCTCTTTGCGAACAAATTGTGACTATCCCGAAAATGGCAACGATCGTTTGTGTTTCGTGTTACAAAGGGATGCGATATTAAACATCCCTTTGATGTTTATAAAACGAAACCCTTTGCCGTCGTGTTAAAAACTCGTGTCAATTAAGTTTTTAATTAGAACGAGCTTTCAAAGGGCTTGCTAATTGAATTTTGTCAGTGAAGATACTTTGCATGTAAATAAATTCCGTGACACTTTACGTGTTCCTTGTAGTCGAACACGTCTATTGGTGACTGTATCGCAGGTACCGAGCATCGAGCCCTTTTATAACGGCAAGATAAAGGTTTTATACACGAGTTCTAGTTATCAGTACACCCTGTACATAAATATCGAGGAACACGCGTGTCCCCACGTCGGTTCTTCTCGTTTAGATCGGCACACTCTTGCCAACAACCCTTCTCTTACGCCGCCTTCCTGTCGCTCCCGTTCTCGTCTCCCCACTCTGCACTCTGCCTCCGTTAATTGCCCCAATTAAATCTTTGTTACAAGCAATTTGAGCCTGAGGATTTTTGGAAGAGGGGAACAGGGCCTGTAACGACGTGAACCGTTGTTTTTGTAGAATCGCTAGGCGGTAAAAAGTTTCGTCAAACAGGGCAACCTGACTAAAACGTTAATCAGTTTTATGACACAAAGGAAAATTGCAAAATCTAATTTTTACTTTGAAATATGGAACATTCACTTCCGTTCTACGAACGTTAATAAAGTTAACTTTATGTGGCTGACATGATTGATCATTCAGTTTCTATACCCTTTAACTGATAGAAAAAGAAAGGATATCCCTTTTATATATATTTTAATGGAACGGAGTATTCATCTTTTTTATTCAAATATTTCATCATTGCATCGAATAATATTTATTTGAAGCATTTCTTCTTTATACACCCCCAAGGTTTAATATTACAGTCTCTACGGTGTTTCATTGAAAATAAAGCTTGATTAACGACGACGTCAACATAAAATCGTAGTATTTGTCATTGCATATATGTATTTATCTGCACTGCGGTTACACGGTAGCAAACAAATTTGCAACTCATAGAGGGAAATTGAAACAAAAGCGGGGCGAGTGTCGTTCATTTTCACGAAACGAAATTTATATCCTGCAGAAAATGACGCTCGTTTCCACGTCGATCTATCTTTTCCCGAGCTACTTTCATCGCGTTTCGATCAATCATACCCGTTTACAAATAATGATGTTTAGCCGGGACAACAAAGCAGAAACCACGCGGAGGTATTGAATTACATTGGTGCAGAACCACGAACGCGTAATGATACGAAGCCATCGCACTCTTCCATAGAGTAAATTATTTCACAATACGAGTAACACGTTGTTTTATACGCCGTGGTATTTTCAAATCGAATTTCCCTTTAGCCATTTGCGTCGCGAGCCAGAATAACGCGATTACAATGGCGCACGTTAACGGTCGACCACGATCCGCCTTGTTTTTCGATGCATCTCGCGTTACGCTCGCACAGGCAAATGATAATTTCCAGCCGCATCCCTTAATTGAATTTATGTAAACGTATCAATCGTATCGGTTGTTTAAAATTAACGCTAGCCTCCCGCGCACTTCCGGCTTTGATCGCGTCGAATTTCCAATTCGCAACAGTCTCTCGAGAGAAATGCGTGTACACTGTATTCGTTTCTTCGGTTCGGCTGGAATTCCTAGTTGGATTTATTATGATTATAATTATCATACGTTAACCCCAATTGTAGCGCAGATTGGCTGCTGGTTAACGCGTTTGTCAAAGCTAGTTTGAAATACACACAGCCTGTTATAGCGCACGAGGGATATGGTTATGGACCAGTTAGTCTAGTTTCAGGAAATAGAATATAGAATATAGAATAATATAATTTTGAACGCTACGCGATAGTTTGAAATTATTTTTTATTATTTTCAAGATAGGCGCGTAAAATGAAAACTCATGGTGATCTCTGCAATAGATTTGCAAATGAAAGTACAAGTTCGTTTGCTTCGCAAACAGCTATTTAATTGCACAGCTAGTGTGCAAGTGTAGTAGTGTATAGATGAGCGATGAGTTTACGCAGTGAACCCTGTCACTCGTTATGATAGACAGCGCTTCAGGGACTTCGCGATGAGAAATCGAAAACGACGAGCTCAGTCCTGGCCACCTGACGGACCAACGTTTATCGTAATTGATAATTAATAGTATTATGAAAACATAGAATCGCGTGGAAGGCAACGGTCCAACAAGTTGCATGACGTTGCAACAGCAAGTGTAAACGTTCGCGGCTATACGACGAACAGCGAATAGCGCTGGCAATTAGCTGGTAAAGCTAATTTAATTTTGCTGCAAGACGATTCTCCGTGGATTTTTATGTCTCAGGTTTTAAAGAGCGGTTAACAGTTGCTCTCTCTACCTTGCTGGATGATTATTATGTTGTCGTGAAAATTATATTCTCTAGTCAACTTGATCTTTAATGATTTTCTTGATCATCGGGATTAAATTCAGCGAGGTGCTGCGAGAGCTTTATTCTAATTGTCTTTAAGTTACGGCTTGCTGGAAGGCGTTTTGTACTTGAAAGGATTTTATCCTTGAACTTGTACTTTCTTGTAATCAACTTCGTTAAATATAGTCATGTTTCGCGTGATATGTTATGATCGTTCAGTTTTACGTCGAATACTTTCTGCGTTTCATACGAGAATCCCAGTCATGGAGGATGAAAATTGAAGGCTGTTCGGGAACAGGAATTTAACCGAGGAAAGCTTTAGCATGCGAGATGCAAAAGTTTGTTTCATTTCAAGCCATCAAGTCAATCAAGCCGTGTCAATAATAAGCTGTAACCAACCAGTTGTAACTTGCCAAAGGAATTCTCTTCCATCATGATGACCGTCGATTAAAGAGGACTAAAATAGAATGAAGCAAACTTTTATCTCGTAATCGAAGAAACATTTTAAGGGTGGAATTGAAAAATTTCCAACAAGTAGCGATAAAATGATAAACTTTTATTTTTTAAATAGATACAAGAAAAATTTAGTGCATTTGAAGTAAATCGATTGAGACGCTTTCAGGGCGACGGTCAATTTACAATACCGATTCTTTGCGTCTTTGCAAATTAGCCAGACTGCGGCACGTCGCAGGAAGGCATGCTAATTTTTCTCCTGTCGAACGTTCGAATTCCAGTCACGTATCCTAGGCCACGCCGCTAACGAATTGAAAGCTGGTAATTAAAGTAACCGTGACTTCTGATCACGCGATTCGCTTCAACGCATTTGTTACAGACGCTTTTCATGACCGTCCATTTATCGAACGGAACGAATTAAGTACGATATTTCATCTTGTAAATTTGATTAATTAGAGGGTCGCGGGAACCCGACACGACCGGCCTGATATTTTCGGGTTCTCGCACGGTTCTATTGTTTTCCCTTTGCATACGCATCGCGAAAGAGGTTTCTGCATTGTTGAGACAGGCTCGTAATCGAGAGATTCGAGTCGACAACGCGGCTATCGTTTCATTTAACTTGCTAAAAGCCAGAGTTGTCTGGAGGGTGCTAGCGCGGGAAGAAAGTTTCGAGTTTACTTCGAGTCGTTAAGATCTCGAGATCGCACTTTGGTCCGATGCTCGCTGGAAGGACCTTGAATGGCAATACTCCAACTATCGCGCCATGAAGTGGTTGAAAAACTTATAATTACCCGCAGACACACGACGATCGTGTCGGTATCAGCGCGGGCACGTGATTTCTTGCATTCTCATTAGCGCCTGATTATCCATAAGGGGGGGTTCGTTAAAGTGTCCCTTCCGAGACCTTTTTTGGAAAATCCTTTCGATTGTAAATTTGCGAGATAGCCGTCCGGCTTGCAGCGCTTTACTGGAACGATCGCGTTTCGCTCGGAACACCGCTAATTGTACGTCGGTCTGTTAAG